GGTGAAGGGATTGCTCAAGCAGTCCTGCGCAACCAGGCTGACACTGGAAGCCTGCCGGATGAAGAATAGGGCTGGCCACAGGCATTTTGCTGCGGATTAGCAATCTGTGAAAGAGCAGGGTGAGAAAGAAAAGCAAATTTAATTGAGGACAGAGGCTGAGAACAAAAAAAAAACAAATAAGCAAGCAAGCAAGCAAAACAAAACAAAACAAAAAATAGTGAATTACTCCAAAGAAAGGTCTGTTGGTACTGGATTTCTCCTTTGAGGCACCTGTCATGTTAACCCCAGACACCCATAAAGGCAAGGATTCAGCTGGAGCAGCTGCCCATATCAATCTACACTGCTGCTTTTAGGTTGCATGCTTTTATACTGTCACTGCTGTATGAGGGATACACAGTGGAAATACACTGAAATATTTGTATCAATGCTTCTCATTCATTGTGCCAGCCTGGGTCGAAGAGCAGCCTAGCCACCAGTCTATGGGCTGCAGACACTACCAGGACCAGAAGCATCTTTTGGACCTGCCCAGATTTGCAGTCCTGTTTGCAAGGCTTTCCTCTGTCCCAGCTCCCAGAGCCACTGCAGCCATTATCTTCCTCAACACAGAAACATGTCCAGGAGGGGAAAGGGCTGAGTCAGCTCTGCTGGCGCGTCGCTGCCTCCATATGAAAACCAGACAAGTCTCCCAGCATCCAACAGATGCCACTGCATATTTGTTTTGTGGTCGGAGCTGCTACTGCATGGCCGGAGGCACAGTGTGGCCTCCCCGCTGCGCAGGGCTGTGGTTGAGTAGGGAGCTGGGGCGAGGCAGATGTCACACCCAGACAGACCCCTAGCCAGGACCAGGCTGTCCCCAGGGTGAGCCTACAGTGGCTGGGGGCATGGACTCTTCCACGCAGGTAGCTCCATCATTTCCAAAGGGGAAACTGAGCTTACCTTCTGGAATTAATTCACGCTTTGTCACTTAATAAAATCACCTCCCTGCTTGCACACATCTACGGACCTAATCCTATTCTGGTCCCCACCTGCACGCTTAGTGGTTAGACTCCATGCTCTCTATTCCCATCCCCAGAAGTACCAAAGTCCTCTGACAATTGGTTTCTCTAAATTGGGCCGCTTGGAAGGGAGCAGCTTGAACACCATTTGCTCACACTGCAACTTTCTTTTCCTTACTTATTCTACTTACCAAAAGCATAAGTAATTACAGAGTAATAAAAAGAGTAACAAAAAAAAAAAAAAAAAACACATAACCAGTTTTATTTATTACCATTTCAAAAGAAGTGCTCCTCTTTGTTTCTCGGCTCATTAGCTGATTTTAAACTTATTTTAAACTGATTTTAAACTTTTAAGCATTCTTTGTTGTTGTTGTTGTTGTTGTTCAGGCAAAGTTAGTTTTATAGTTCTTTGTTTCTGACTCAGTTATTCCTGAATAATTATGGATACAGTTTTATAACTCATCTTTCTTTTCTTCCAGACAAGGAAATACTGCCATACAGGATTCTTGCTTATTTTGACAGAAGAACAAAGTAATCTGAAATCCTCCATTTGAAAATGATTATGTTTGACCATTCTTTCCAATTTCTATTCTGTCAAACACCCAGTTTTTGTATATTCCACACAATTAACTAATTTTAAATTGTTACTTGGTTTTCTGTGATTCAATATCAGAAATCCTTCTTCTCTAAATTCACAGTGAATTTCAATTCATTTTGTTCCTTTCCTTTTTTTTTTTTTTTTAATTCAATAGAAATCTATAGTTTTAAAAAGACTTCTGTTTCTTATGAGTTCAAGAGGACACAGAGTACAGGAATCTTTTTCTCTAGCAATGTCCCTGATTCACCACCTGTTTTTGATTTTATTTTGTTTGTTTGTTTGTTTTTTTAAGTGAAAATCTACTATGATTTAGGTCATCTATGGTCCCCCTCCCCTGCACCATCATAATGGATGGAGTTACTTGGTAACTGAACAACCCTAGAACGTGAATGATGCACACATAATTCACATCACTAAAAGGTGAAAGAAGCAAACAAACAGTTTTATACAGTAATAATAAACTCTAGAGCAACGTAAGTTAAAGTAATTTAATGCGATCTGTCTTTAGTTTTCCTAATGCTAATTCAGCAACACATTTAAGTGCTCTTGCACTTAATTTCTTACTCAATATAAATTTTGATGAATGTATTACTGACAAAATGTTATATAAGTAAAAGTTTAGTTGCAAACATTTTAACGCTTATTTAATATTTACATGTAAATCGTAATGTTGTAGCATTCATTTCTATCTGCACTGTGATTTTATTAGTAAAATATTTGTGGCACGTAAATTGTTTCACTTCAGTATCTGTAATGGCAACATTTGCTGAGTTTTGCCTTTTTTTAAAACTACCAATCTGATTTATTGCCATCAGTGAGATCGGTTCAGCTGGTTATTTGGAGAAAAAAAAATCTAGCCCTGCAACTATACCAGTCTGTGATTTCACACATATTACAATTTTAAATAAGTATTCTGTCAGTAAATAAAAAGTCTTTTACCACTACAAAGGAGTAATTAAGGAAAGATAGCAATCGCTCTATCCCAGACCCTCTATTACTACAAACAAACCCACTAAAAACAGTGACCTACCCAAATATAGGTGTCTTCTGCCAACACAGCCTTAATACATACATTATTCAGGAGGTCTCTGTCAGATCTGTCCTGCTTTGAATGCACCTCAGATTAGCAAAGAAGAAAACATTCAAAACAAATGTTGAAAACATTCATAAGCCTGTTTTAATATTTTTTCCCCACAAGGAAGACTAAGTTCGACACCATATGAAACAAACTTTAAAAAAGAGATTGCTGGTTTAAACTTTGTTCTTTGTTCTTTGTTGGGGGTTAATTAAATTACATGGGTCAAAAATCACTTGAACTTTGCTCATGTCAAACTACTTCTTTACCTATGTCTTGCTGTTTGCATTGGCTAAGTGAACAAAGATGTCCATGCTCTTCCAAAAGTAAGGCAAATATAGGAAATAGTAATCACTATCAGCTAAGAGCTCATTGCCTTTGATGAACTGCATTAGCATTAATATTTCAAAAAGCATAGATCTGCTATGTTAAAAAAAATAATAACAATAAAAAAAAAAGCATTAAAAAGCCCTTATTTACTTTCTGCTGGCATAACACATAAAATAGTAAGCAAGCTATTTTATTTATTTATTTATTTTTCCAGTGTCAAAATCTGCCTCCTGTGAAGTAATTGAAAAAACTTTGCAGGTGGTTTTGCAGGAACGTCACAGCTGGTACCACAGCTGTGGTCATGGGGGACAGGATACAGGAACACAGGGCATGGCAGCAGACTAAGTTTTTTTGCAGGAAATCGTCGGACTTAACCATAAATTATGGCCAAGTATGAATACTTATTTATGATTGGCATGCTCAGAGACTATTAAAGTTATGACCTATCTGGGCTGACAAACTAATTTCTTAACATGGTTTATTAAATTTGTACAATGTGGTAAAATATGCTTTGTATAGTATTTATTAATGTATATGAAGAAACCAAGTTTTGCTGCTTAGTTACACAACCCTAGCAGAAAAGAAATGCCCAAAGAACCAGCGACACACACACTGAAACTACTTGTTTTTTTTTCCAAGAATTATCAAATTCCTACACACTTTTCCACTTTCTAAATGCCCAACCAACATATGACACCTAAAAATATTTACATTTCAATTTTTTATTCTACTTTGAAAGTGTAGTGTTTTCCTAAGTTAAAGTCTGTGTAAGTTAACATTAGATCTTTCCATTACTCCATTTATTAAACAGTACAGGAAAAAAAAATCTCATCCTAAAACAGGAAAGAAATTTGATTTTAATTCAAGTAGCCACAGAAGCATAAAAATACATGATTTATTGTGTCTCCTAAAACCACTGATTTTGCAAAAGATTGTGTTTCCCTTTTTTTAAAGCCAAGTCACTGCAAAATGATTTTGCAGAAATATAATAATAAAAGCAACCTAGAATGCTCTAAGTCCATAGCCATGTGCCAAAATTACTGTATTTTATTCTAAAAGTCTATTTTTTCTTAAAATAGTGCTCAGTTTTAGTGAGTAGGTTATCATTTGCTGAAATACTGTAGAAGGTCCACAATAGTCATACATAAATAGGTAAGTCATCTTTACTGTTCTACAGATACACATCAAACATATAACAGGAAGAGACAATGAAAAACACAATCATTTTTGAGTGTGCTATTAAAACAGATTTATTGTTCCAAAGTCTTTTAAAAATCATGAAGTTTAACAATCAGAAAGGGAATTAGGTATCTTTCATGATTAAAAGGTAATTCTGGATATCTCATCATTGCTTTTCTGAAAATCAAGACTTCAGTAATTCAACTATTTTCTTCAGTGGATGAGGATTTTTTAATACCTTAGTGATTCAGAAGAACTGCTGCTTATTTGGCCAATGGATTAATTAAACAAAGAATGCAGCAGCTAGAAAAAATACTTACAAAGCACCATGATGAACAGTGTGCAATTTTACTGTATCTAATTTTACTATATATCTATGCCAGGCACATGACTGGAGCCTGTGAAAGAATCTTCACTGAAAAAGCATATTTTTTTTGTTTTGATACAAGAGTAGTCTACAGAAAACAATGGAAGAAAAAAAAAATCTTATTCCAAAACCAATAGCCCTCTGACTGATTTCCAGTCTTAAGCTGAAGTTCTTATGTAAAAAAAATGCACAGATGGGTCCCATTTTGCAAGAGAAACAGAAGCTGGACAATCCCCAGTTCATTTCATCACTGTCACACTTCTGTAAAGCACAAGAAACATCACTGAAGCTGATAAGTACTTGCCAAAACTGTGAACTGATCTCAGGTAGCTCATGCCTTCAGTGCCTCAGCACTGAAACTAGAGGAATGTTCATTGTTCACACATTGCCTACCATTTTCAAGACTAAAATATAATGCAGCCCAAGGATTTTATGTTTTTTGTGTCTAGGTTGTTGGCTATATACTAACAATTAGGCTCAGAGTCTCTACTGAAACACTAAAAATCAGTCCAAGTAGGTATCTGTAGAGCAGGGAATAGAAATAAGGATCTATTTTTTATGCATATCTAGCAAATAGGGAAGAACAAAAGAGAATTTTACTTAGATTTCCTCAAAATGTGTGTTTCGATGAAGAAATTGTATGTTCATCTTGTGTCCTTGCCACATCTTTGAGACAGACACAGGTGATAAAATGGTGCTGATGACAGTGAATCAACCCCTCAAGACGTGTAATGATCTCGTAGTCAGGCAGAGCAAGGCTGGCAATATCGAGGCCCAGCATCCGTGAGACCACCTCTCGGAAGTCTGCCAGCTGCAATGACAAACAGAAAGGAATTACTAATACATTAACTACCAAGCAAAAGGAATGCCTGGAGAAACATGTACATATATGCATACGTACAAACACAAGCATTTGTATTAGAAAGGCAAAATACAGGAATTTCTGCCGTTGGTCAACACAGACAGCTGAAGAGGATGGAAACGGCCCTTTGAGGCATACTTCAAACAACAAAACAAGTAAATAGCTGTGGTGCTAGCAATCTTCAGCAAAGAACACTCACAATTTTAATATTCTTTAATATCTTTCACAGGCACATCTTCCCTGATGATTAAACAGTAAAAACTACAGAAAAGATGGGAAGAGGAGATGTACTTGACCTAGTAAACAGCAGAGACAACTGGAAATTTTGGCAGTCACATGCCACAGCATGTACTAAGATACTGACCCTGACCTCTGCCTGTCAGAGCTCCTCTTTACTCATCAATTTCTCTTGGACCACCTTCTTGGACCACCCAGCCTGACCCTCCCCTGTCCCAGCTCCATGCTGTTCCCTCGGGTCCTGTCACCAGAGAACAAAGCTCAGTGCCTGCCCCTTGTGAGGAAGCTGCAGTCTGCTATGAGGCCTCCCCTCAGCCTCCTCTTCTCTGGGCTGGACAAACCCAGCAACCTCAGCCACTCCTCATATGTCTTGCCCTCTAGACCCTTCACCAACTTCATAGCCCTCCTTCAGAGACTCTCTAATAGCTTTATGTCCTCCTCATATTATGGTGCCCAAAACAGCACATAGCACTCGAGGTGTGGCCGCAGCAGCGCGGAGCAGAAGCAGCACAGTCACTTCCCTCAGCCAGCCAGCCACACTGTGCCTGGTGCATCCCAGGACATGGTTGGTCCTTTTGGCTGCCAGGGTATACTGCTGGCTTATGTTCAACTTGATGCTGACCAGAACCCCCAGATCCGTTTCTGGGAGGTTGCTCTCCAGCCTCTTACTGCTCAGTCCGTACATACATGTATATCCAGAGTTGCCCCATCCCAGGTGCAGAGTCCTATATTTGCTCTTGTTAAACTTCATACAGTTGGTATTGTCCAGCCCTCCAGTCTATCAAGGTCTCTGAAAGGCCTCTCTATCCTTAAGGGAATCAAGAGCTCCTCTTAATTTAGCATAATATGCCATACTTTAGACAAGTCTAACACACAAAGAACAACGTGAAACACCATGTTAAACCCTAAATGTCAGTTAATTCTAATTTACTCCAATCCAATCTTAATTTTTTACTTCACTTGTGTATGCTCTGCCATTCTTTGTGAACATGAGAATGACCATTGTCTTAACCAGATGGCATTAGTTCAGTTCTGCATACTTTTAGTTTTCACAGCATAGAAAATATCCATGCAAAACCACAATGTTGCATAAAATTATATGTGGTTATATCCCTGGAAAGCAGAAGACACCTGAAGAAAATCACCCAAATGTATTCAGAAGCAGTCAACTTAGCCACGTCATCAATTCCATCAGATAACAGCAATTTCAGTTTCCATTAGTTTTCTTAACACATGCACTCAGACACACTGCATTTATATTCTTGTTAAATATGTACACGCACGCTGAAAGAAATATTTAGCTCTTCGTTCACTACCTTTTACAGAACAAAAGAGAGGTTTGGCCCTGTTTAGTATCCTTGAGATGGAATAACAAACAAGTCCAAAGCAGGTGAAGAACTACACCAAGTAGGGGGTGAGGAAGGTGTTTTCCTTGTTTAATGGTTCTGGAAAAGTTCAGAACAAACTTAAGTGTTAACTACTAATAGAGTTTTGAATGAATTATCTGATTTAGCAACAGTAGGTTTATCTCAAGGAGAGATTTTAGCTAAGAAAACCGTTAGGAGGCAGGTGAGTATGTTACATATATTGCTGATAGTTCTCACATTAGCAAAATGGCAATGCTGCACAAGTATCAGGCACAGGTTACAGCTTTGCTCCCCTTTCAGCAGCGTGGTTCTACCTGTAAGTGCCTGAAACATTCCTGGTTATTGTGGGTACTGGTGAATTATAAGATGAAGTTTTTCCTTCATTAACTCTGAAAGTTTGAGAACTAGTACTTTGCTGCGCTTAAGCATTCTGCACTGTGTAGCCCACTTACCTCGCCTTTCCCACGTTCTTCACATTTGGCCGAAGATCACTGCAAGTGTTTGAAAAGCCTTGGCATTTCAAACAAAATCAGTATTCAGTATATACAAAGCATTCAGTAAAAATTCACAATGTGTGGTTTTAACAAGTACTCAATGTATGACTCCATAGTATAATTTTCTGAATATAATTCAAGCCATTTTCTATGTTCAGGATGCTTAGTTTCCTCATGAGACATATGAAGAAATTAGATATTCCTGCCAAATTTCCAATGTTCATTATAAAACAAAAGAGGGCTAAAGCTTTCCAGAAATAAAGATTCCCCCCCACCCCCTTTTTTTTCCTGTTAGTAAAACAGTATTTTTCTAGACTTATCTTAGGAAATAGCATTCTTAAATATCATCTAGCACTGTTGCTGAGACCACAGAATCACAGAATTTCTAGGTTGGAAGAGACCTCAAGATCATCGAGTCCAACCTCTGACCTAACACTAACAAGTCCTCCACTAAACCATATCCCTAAGCTCTACATCTAAACATCTTTTAAAGACCTCCAGGGATGGTGACTCCACCACCTCCCTGGGCAGCCTGTTCCAATGTCTAACAAGCCTTTCAGTAAAGAAGTTCTTCCCAAGATCCAATCTAAAACTCCCCTGGCGCAACTTAAGCCCATTCCCCCTCGTCCTATCACCAGGCACATGGGAGAACAGACCAACTCCCACCTCGCTACAGCCTCCTTTAAGGTATCTGTAGAGAGCGATAAGGTCGCCCCTGAGCCTCCTCCTCTCCAGGCTGAACAAGCCCAGCTCCTTCAGGCGCTCCTCGTAGGACTTGTTCTCCAGGCCCCTCACCAGCTTCGTCGCCCTTCTTTGGACCCGCTCAAGCACCTCGATGTCAGTCTTGTAGCGAGGGGCCCAAAACTGAACACAGTACTCGAGGTGCGGCCTCACCAGAGCCGAGTACAGGGGGACGATCACCTCCCTAGCCCTGCTGGTCACACTGATTCTTATGCAAGCCAGGATGCTGTTGGCCTTCTCGGCCACCTGAGCACACTGCTGGCTCATATTCAGCCGACTATCAACCATCACTCAACCAACCACCAACAACTAATGTAAAAATTATAGCTAGAAGGACCAACAAAGTTCTAAGCAATTTGAATCTTAAAATGACACATTCCTGGCTTTAATCAAGTATCCCATTGGCTTTTAACAATGATGCTATCCATAACGTTGTTATAAAACTTGATACGCTGGGGCAATTAAATACATACTTCATAATTTTCTGAAATTGGAATGGAACATACTTACTAGTGTCTCTCTCATCTAAATTCTCTGCACCCTCCCACCCTAACACACACTTTGGTTTCTTATGGATGAGTAACCACAAAATTTTTTTCTCACTTTGAAAAACTTGTATGTCACAAATCAATCTAAAATAGCTGTCTTCAAAATGGTCTTTTTTTTCTTTTCTTTTCCAACAATCTGAATTGATGGCCTGTACATGGTACTAGGTAACCAGGTTTTATACCCAAGAGATATGGAAAAACACACTTTAAAATAATACTATGATTTTAAAGCACTTTTTTTCTTCTCCAAAATGTGATGTAAAATGAATATTTTGCAATGCACAAAGAAATCAGTGCATTTATTTTTCATTCTCCTGAATGTATAACTTGAAGAAGAGCTTTGACTCTTCTTCACAGCTGCCACACTAGATAATATTTCCTTACTTTATTTACACAAGGTTTTACCACAGCCATATAACTGTTCCACCTACAACACATTCTTTCATTCTAAATGACACTAGCACTTGTTGAATACCTGTACACCTACCTGTCTTTCTCTTCTTGTTAATTCTGCAAGGGTTGTTTTAAGCACCTTCATTTCACTGGAAACTGCTTCTAGCATATTTTTTGCTTTTTCTTTATCCTCAGTAGCTTTAAGCTCCTTTAAATGAAGTTCAGATTTGACAGAATTTAGTTGTTTCTCAACCTTTTCTTTCATTCTTTCCAGTTTGCCTTGAGACTTATTAAGTTCTTCTATTGTTCTGTTCTGCTCCAAAGTCTGGATCTGCAATAACCAATTCATAAATCAATGTTAAATTTGTCACACATTTTCATCTAATATGAACGAATAATAATGATGGCTAATCAGGACTATGCACTCTGATGAGCTTTCTTACAAATTCTTGAGGAAACCACATGTATGTGTGAACTGTAAAGTTATCAAAGAAGAGCTGGGCAGTGTCAACTCATTTACCAGTAAAGCTGTTGTTTCAAAGACAGCTGATTCCTTATAGGGTTTGCAAGAAGAGTTGACTGGACAGAAAAGAGCCTACAGTGAGAGTTCAATCCCTGCTAGCCACTGGGAAAAGAATACAGAGAAAAAAAGAAAAAAAAAAAAGAGTTGCCAAATGTTTTGGCTGGTGAAAATCCTTCAGTTGCAAGTCATCAATTTCAGTCCATGAGCTATTAAGACACAAAGTTGCTTAAAATAAACCTTCCTCACTTCCAGAGGTGGCACGATATCAGCAACTGCAAACTACTTGTTTCCACCTGAGTTAAAGCAGATAATTTATTACTGCTGCAAGGTAATAAAACACAGGAACAATGAAAATTTAGCATCTCGGGGAAAAAAAAAAATATTCCACTCCACATGTTTATCAGATTAGATTTACTGTGAGCAATGTATAGGAAAATAGAATTACAATTATACTGACAGAAAAGAAAGGGATGCATGTATAATAATTTTCTTACACTAAACTGAAGATTTACATAGTGCTTATAGATGCTATTTAACATATCGACAAATTTCTAAATACACAACACATTGTAATTTTATATTTTTCTACACGAATTCGACCAGTACTCCATGGATGTATTTATTGAAAATGAACTCCAGCAGTATCCAAGTTGGAATAGAAAAAGGGGAAGAAGCCCAAATCTAATCTTTTAACTCACCTTAAGTTCATTGGTTTCAGACAGTTTGGCTTTGAGATCAGTATTTGTTTCCCTGGCCAGATCAAGCTGCTTCTGTAACCTCTCTATCATCTTGTGCAACTTTCTGACAGTGAGATTGGCCTCATCCCTCTCCACTGCTAAGGCTGTCCTTACTTGCTTCTCTTCTTCCAGCTGGGTTATTTTCTGCCGCAGAAGGTTCATGTGCAACTCTTTGCTTTCAAGCTTTTCTTTCTGAGTCTTCAACTGGTTTTATGAATACAAGGATATTTAAAAATATATGTAAAAGACAATGGTACTACACAGATTATTGTATAAATTTAGTCACCCTGTTGCACATTTAACCTGAACTCCTAATCCTCTCTTGAAAACTCTAAGGCAGTATATATATACATTCATTTCATACCTCTTATATTACCAGTTGTTTGTGCTTCTCCATCCCTAAGCCTGTGCGTTACCTTCTAGAATGCATTTACATGTAGACTGCACCTTATTTGAACATAAATACCTGTGCATCGAACATCTGAGATTATATTATATATAAGGCACTTGCCAAACGTAAGACGTAAGAGACACTCATTAGGCAGACAACAGTTCCGATGTGGTAGTTTAAGATATTTCCATGTTTAACCAGCTTATTAAGCCTAGTACGCAAGGAGCACAGTCATCACACAGAAGTAAGAAAGCACTCATCCACTGCTCCTACACAAAGGTCAGCAACCTTAGTTTTGCAACTTTGGTGCTCAGGAGGCTACTTGTTTTCAGCTTACCTGAGCTGAACTCCCAAGCTGTACTCTGGAACAACTGAGGAGTGTTAACATTACCTCAGAGAGGTAGTTGCTTCCAGAAAAAGTATGGTTTTAAACACAGTATGGTTTTAAACCTTAAACATACCTCATGCCTCCTGCTTAAACATACCTCCATTCTAATAAGCCTAATAACAGAAGATTTCACTCTGTCACAACAGAATGACTGAGGGGTGTCTGACTACATTTGCACAGATAATCAAGGTTCCAAAAGGAGCACTGTTCTTGTTGAAATACTTGGTGAAGTGCAACTGATGTTCTACTAGCTCCTAGAGAAGCTTGTATAAGACACTTTCCTTCCAAGTAGATCCTTTTAGATTTAAATATCAACAGTAGTTGTTTATAGAAGCATATACTATTAGTTGCTCTAATATGCAATCTGCTTGCACAGCTCTATACATTTTTCTTTTCTTAACAGTTCTTTTTTTGTAATGGACATCTTTGATACTTCTTATACATATATGAAGCTCTAAACTGCTGCCTCTAACAAGCTATCACCCTGATATAGCTATAGCAGTGTCTTACCTTGGAAACAAACAGTAGCTATTCATTTTTGCTTACCTTCCTTCTTAGGCTATATGCCATAGTCTTGTTTTCAATCACTGCATCACCTTCCAGTTTGACCAACTGTTCTACCCGGGCTAGAATTGCATTCACATTCATATCAAATCCAACATCTGCTGCTACACTATCCAGCTTCATCTTCTCATTAAGTTGCTCCAGAAATATCAGATACTAAGATACAATGTGGGAAAATGAGAAAAAGAATAATAAATTTCATTAACAGTCCTGACATATAATTTAGAAGCAATTCCCCCTACACTGACAACCAACTATACAGAGCCAGACTGTGCAACAAGGTACTGGAAGGACATATTTTTCATACACATTTCTGATAAAATTTCAGATTCTCCAGTTGTCCTTTTTCAGCCAGGATTTTTGTTCATAAATTCCTGGACCTACTGTATTTATTCTCTTAGCAAGATTAGATAGTCTCATGCTCCTCTGCAGCAAGAAAAGCACTAGGTATGTGTGTCTGCTTCTGACTCCAGTTCCTGCCTGTGGCTCTACCGCTCTACATGACCACACACTGTCAGGAAGGAGGAAGAAAGGACAGCTACATTCCACTTAGTGGGAGTGCATGCCCACTGCTCTGAGCTCTGACTGACTAACACAGATAAAACTGGTACTGGGGATAGTATGGGTTTGATCCCATGTGGTCTGAGGAAACACAGGAGTGTTAGCACAGTCAGACTTCTGCCCTTCTTTGGAGCAGTAAGTTTTAGAGATAACAGTTATTGGTTTACAAATTGCTTTAAAGATTATTTTAATTGCATCTCCACCTGGCTTACTGCTGTAAATACATAGATGTATCTAATATTTAATCTGGTTTTTTTTGTTGGTGGTGGTGTTGGTGTTTTTTTGTTTGTTTGTTTTTTATTTTTGTTTTTTTTTCTCCTTGTTTTCTGCTGCCTGCTAGCCCTTTAAAAATTGCATACACTCGCTGGTCACAATTAGCTTCTCTTACAAAAACCAAAGCTCTCCTTCTCCCTAAGAATCATATTTGCCTTTGTTCTTCCTTACTTCTATTGCAGGTCATAATCTTTGCAAAGAAATAATGAAGGAAAAAAAAAAAAAAAAAAAAAAAAAAAAAAACAGTTCCATAACCGTTGTTTGAGATGAAGATGAAAAAACATAGCAAAAAATCTGTGTTTCATTATGTTTGTCTCAAAAAGTTAAACACAACACCAGCAGAACTGAAGTTGTTCATCAACGGGGAGGTGGGAGGGAACATAGACAATCTAATTGCAGCAAAATCTAGAGAGAAATTAAGAAACTACTGACGCGTTCTTCACAGAAGAGGAAGGGTGCACAGAGGAAGCAGGGTGCAAGAACACCTCAATTTTCTGGTTTGCTCATAAGATAGTGGATGTTTCATTTGGAAAAGTTATTGTATCATAGACTAATGCAAAACAGCATCAAAGTAGTGATTCTTTGCAAATTCAACTCAATAAACACTGATCTTGGCCTGGTAATATGCTACAATGAACCATGCACTTTGTCTTTCTTAGCTGGCTGGTTTAGCTCTTGTGCTATGCCATTTTTCAAACTCTTAGTATGCAAAAGTGTACCAAGCTAACTGCATTTATTCATTCAATTAATAAAGCAATCCTTGTAGTTACGGTGGTCTATGGATATAAAAGAATCAAGGATTGCAAGATTTGGGGAGTTTGTGGATCGTATGATATATTACAGAATGATGGAAAAGCTTTGAAATCAAAGAATCCTTAAAGGACTTCTGATATATATACAGAGACTTTTTTTAAATCCTTCCCCCTTCCCCCCCACACACACATTAAATGGACTTTGAACTTGAAAGCTTATCCACTTCTTCCAACTAAAACTGTCAGTTAAAGAAAAGATATTACTACTCCCCACATGATGCCTTACTTTGCTCATTCACACTATTTGCAGTACTGGGCAATACTCAAGCTGATCAATATAATACAGTTAGCTGCATCTCTGGCTTTACTGATTTTTATGAAAATAAAGTAACACATGCAACTACTTTTTGTTTCTCAAGCTTCAAACCATCTTGCATCATATCTATAGACAGCAATTCCTCTTCCAAGTTTCTCAGTTGATCCTGGAAGGTCTCCGATTGTTTTTCAGCTTTTCTGCTTCTCTCCAGAGCTTCTTGATACAATCTGGTCTGATTTTCCAAACTTTCAGTCAATTTAGCTATTTGGGTTTCAAACTGAGATACCATCTAGGGAGCAAGCAAGCCAAAAGAACATATAGGGTTAGGTGAGAGTGGAAATTTTAGAAAGATATGAGACATCTATTATCGAATTATTAAGAGGAGGATAAAATATCTTTTTAAAATACGAAATTTTAAGATGCAAAAAGAGTAAACTCTGTTGCAACCACCCAGAGCAAATGACAGTGATGACATTTGTAAGTAAGACTCCTAAAAATGAACAGCAAAAGTAATACTTGGGTCAATCAAATAAAAGGAGCTAATATATTGTAAAATGAAACAAACTTAATTTTAATGACACGGAAAAATTTAGATTACAATTAAATAATAATAGTTTGCACCTTAACTACCTAAAAATAAAAAAATAAACTGAGAAATTACTGCTGCTTGTACAGAGGTAGAAAACACTGAACTGCAATAAATTCTAAACTGCAATAAGACTGTGAGAACCCTAACAAACATTTTATGTTTTTGTGCATTGTATATCACTCTGTAGGAGAAACAGCTTTCAGTAGCTTGTGCCAAGGGATGTGTTGCTGTCTATGAACACGGAGTCCCTCCACCAGGCTGCAGAGGGTCTCTGCTCATAGCCCAGCTACATGGGGTCCTGCAGGCTTCCAGAAACCATAACCATGTGAGGGATCACACAATAGAAGGTGATTATTTTGTGGTCTCAATCTGTTACTTTATCTTCAAAGGCACCCAGAAGTAACCTTCACCCATGGCTTAGGAGCAATCATCATTTTAGGGATTTCCTAAAACAGAGTTGCACCTTTATTACCCGTGCCTGTACCCAGTGATTGACAAAGGCTCTATTTTTCATCCTGTAGTTCTGAACTCCATAACCTCCTGGGCCAATCCCTCATGCAGTTCAATCTTTTTGTATTAATAAAACACTTTCTGCCTTTCTTTTCTGTGTAACCAAGACAGTTGTATGCTGGCTCCAGCTGAGTGCAAAAAGCAGCATGCAGGATGTAGCTACAAGGTCCTTCATACTATAATGGTGATCATTTTTTCTCTTTTCCAACATAACTAGACATTCTTGTCATCTTAGTATTATCTTGATGATCAAAAAGCTGCACTGTTCTTGTTTGATAAGATGATATCTTAAACTACCACTGATTCATAGGCACACATGGGCATATAAATTCAAACAATCTATAATCTGATCAGTTGTTCCTACCTCAGGTCAGATGGGTAAGTAGTCAAGGGAAAAAGCTTCAGCTATATAAATTTTTCTGCAACAAATCTGTGAAGGACCTGAACCCACAGACCTCGCAGCAGGGCTGGGCTCTGTGTGAACTGATAACAATTGCTTGCCTTGGACTCAAACTCCCTATGAACCCTTCTGGTACGTCATAAATAATAAATAACAAAAACACCTAAGAGCTGTCTAAACATACTCAGATGATGTACATCTTATAACTGATGAAACGATTATCAGAACAGTGATTCAAAGCAGCATCTTAATCCTGCAGTAGAATACCTTTCACTGGACATTGCTATATTTCATTTTTTTTTTTTTTTTTTTATAATTGTGGAGCCCAGAACTGCATGCAATATTGAAGATGAGGTTGCTACAATGCTAAATATAGGAGAATCACCTCTTCTGACCGGCTGGATATGCTGTCTTTATTGCACTCCAAAATGCAGCTTGCCCTCCTGGTTGCCAGAGCACGTTCCTGGCTCATGTGGGGCCTGCTATCAACCAGAACACCTGGGTCCCTTTCTGCTGAGCTGCTCTCCAGCCCCTTGTCTCCCAGTCTGTACCTGTACCAGCATTATTGCATCCCAGGTGCAGCACCCACAACTTTCCTTCGCTGAACTCCATGCTGTTGCTGATGGCCCCATGCTCCAGTCTAAGCAGATCCCGTTTCAAGACCTCTCATCCCTCCCGGGTGTCAATAGCACCTCCCCATTTAGTGAACTTGCTGAGGATGTACTCCACTCCTGCATCCACCACTGATAGAAATGTTGAACAGGACTGGCCCTAGAACAGCCCTGGGGAACACTGCTGGTTACTGGCCTGCCAGTTAAACCTCCTTCACTATGACCCTTTGAGCTCTACCATTGAGCCAGTTCGTCACCCATCATAGTGTGAACCTGTGTATCTCACAGTTGGACAATTCGTTCAGAAGTTTGATGTGGGGTATCAAAGGCCTTACTGAAATCCAGAGAGATTACATCTACTGTCTTCTCTTCATCCATGAAACAGGTGACCTTATCATTGAAGAAAATCAAATTACTAAGGCAAGACCTTCTCTTCAGGAACCTGTGTTGACTATGCCTGATGATATTTTTTCAACTGACTTTCAGTAAACCCCAGGATAGTGTTCTCCATAACTTTTCCAGGGACTGAGGTTAGTCTAACAAGTTTCTTTTCTCATGTCCTTTTTGTAGATGGGTATGACACTGGCTAGCTTTTCCTTCAAGTTAAACAGTTTACTGAAAGGTGTATGAGAAATTCTATCTGGAAAAAAAAAAAAATCCTTTGCTTAACTGAGTGATAGTAAAGCATGCATACCCTAACACAAGAAAGTTATACCCAAGTCCTGCAAAGAAATTCACCCAGAGATGCAATAGGAATCTGACCAAGAAGGTCAAGACCAAGATATATTCCTGTCCAGTGAAGCCTTAAAAAATATTTAATTCTGATGTGCAGAAAGAAAAGCAGGTCACCGTAAAACAGCTTTTTTGATGACACAATTTATGTTCTACTAGAGATGGATTCATAAGTGTAAAACATTGACATTTTAGCTCAGTTATTTCAAAGCCCCTAATCTTCACACAGAAACTCTTCTGAGAATAGATGTCAGCAGTGCTTTAATATCATAATTCACCTCAGGGCAGTGCACATAAATTTTTCCAAACCTTTGAGTCATAGCAGTAAGGCATTAAAGCTTCATCGCTTAACATACCTAGTAAATACAATGATACACAAAACTTTGCTATTCAATTACAGTAACTAAATTCACCAAGTACTAAACTTCAAAGCTAACATTTATGGTTCAGGAATTTCTTGAGCCACAAGTTGTTTGAGAAGGGACTAGCATTCTGGGGAAGTATTTCTGTAAGTACAGCAGGCAATTGTATTTGCTAGCAGAGGCAGAATGCTACACTAGGAATACCCAAAATAGTTCCTCTACTATGTAAAAATATACCAACAAAAGAAGGCAACTGTAAGACCAGCTTCATATTTCCAAAACACAGATTTAGTTAGTGGCAGACTAGAGTCAATACCTGCTCTTAGTAATAAAGCACATATATTTAATTGTGATAGCAATAACATTGAAAAACATCCTCAGACAACCAACAAATTGAGTTATTTTTTCATTGCAAGAGTCCACAGGCCTTTCTGGAGGACAAAGAGGTTAGAGCACCGCACTAAAATAAATTCTCACACTCCTATGCAAAACTACCTGCTTTTCTGAGCATCTGTTTCTTTACCTCTAAAATAAGAATAAACTCAGCTCTTTAGAAAAAGAATAACTAATTAATTGTATGACTCTTTAAGTCATAGGGGAATTGCATTTTTTAACAGAGTATTTGATATAAATGCACAGAAGTATTTTCAAGAGCTATTTCCAGCCTTAGACAGAATACAAAGCCATACTTTTTTATTTTATTTTATTTTATTTTAAATAAGGAACTATTACATCAGCAGGAGATGTTAGAATCTCAAAATCTGGCAAGGTCACAGAAGCTGATTTCCAGTGACTCACTGAAAACAGCTTTTCATTTACCGTGTAACTTCTAATTAAATAATAGCCCTCCCTGACAATGGTGTGCTGACAACATCGATATATTCTCATACAAAAAGAGTAAGAAGCCTGAGTACAGCAACCAGCAGTCAGGATGGGATACTGACATTGGTCACACTGCATTCTGGCCTGACTTTCCCCTAAGCATTCTCTTCTGCACATACCTTTCCTTTGCAAATGCTATCAGCCCAAATCCCTCTAGCCAAAGCATTAGAATACCCAGCTACCTTAATATTACCTTTTTTTTTTCTAGAATGGTGAACAGTTACGGTTTCAAAAATACTTACCTGTAAGTAAAAACAAATACTCTTTCCTAGTAGCAGACTTTGAGGATTGGGGGCAAGAAGTTGCCTGGGGCAACATCGGTTATACCTGCCTCGAAAAACAGGTCAGTCCATTAAGTTACTGTTGCAACAGCAAATCTGTGCTTGCTCACATGTTCAGCTAAATCATGGTGACCATGCAGCCACTTCTCATGCCTACAAAGCAGCTCTGAAAACAAGTTTCAATGTCGTAACAAAAAGACTTTTCCTGCTAACAGCACTTATTTTTTATTTAATTTCTGACTTATTCCTACTTAATAAAATATAAGTGTTTTTGGCTTAGCATCTCAAATTAGCAGTCAACAAAATTAAAGTTTTCTGTAATTTCAAAACCTAAGCAAAAAGAATCAACACTCAAAAAGATAAATCAGATAAAAAAAAAAAAAAATTAGTCAAAGGGAATAAACACATTTGCCATGCAAGTAGGTAGCTGCTGACTTACTATCTCTTTACTCTCCTCTTTGCAGTTTATTTCCTGGATCCTCTCCAAAATAGCTTTCCCAGAGGGTTTAACGGTTGCCGATCCACTGCTGAGAAGGGCAGCAATTTGCTCTTTGAAAGCCACCAAAGAACTTTGAGCAGTCCTGGCCTCTTCTTTGCTGCTCTTCAAACTTTCATCCAGCTCACTCAAAGATTTCTTCAGAGTGTGAAGTTCTTGCTTTGAAGCTTCCCAAGCTTTCTGGTTAGCAGTGAGTTTATCTTGGTGGTTTCTGATGTCCGCCTCCAAACTCTGTCTTGCTATTCTAGCACTGTCAAGATCCTAAGAATACACAAAAGACTAAACCAAAGTTTCAAAATTCATTAGAACCCCTCCTCATATGCACAAAGCAGGGAGTTACTCAGAAGCAAGTATTGCATCTAGAGAAATACAGACCCATATTGCTCACAAGAGCCTGACAACATCAAGGTTTCATGAGAAAGCTCCCACTGAAATTAATGAAAGCCCAAAGCCTGCTGTAATCACTCTAGATAGCTTAACTCCTTGCAGTAACCTGGAAAATTGTATGTAAACAAAAAATTTTTGATTGCAAAACTACTGAAAGATTATATTTTCATTCAGATAAGACTTAGAAAAACAATGGTGGACAAAATCTAATGAGAACAAAGCTAAAGAACTACACCTGGGAGGGGAAGCACGAATACACATGAAGTTTCTGCAAGTAGAGCTGAATTAGATGTTATCTCTGAGAATAATTTACCTGAATGTGACAAAAAAATCCTGAGATTATTTTTACATAGAAGTATGAGCGAGACAAAAACAATAAGAAAAAGTTAAGACAGCCTAAAGGAAGATTAAGCGCTCAAATATCAATTAAATCTCAAATAAGAAATGTTTTTTCAAAAGATGCATTAAGGTGAACGAACAATTGATTGTACAACACTCAGAACAAAAAATAATAATAATTAGAAAAAAAACTGCATGATTGCATCTTCTGAAGAAAACAAAAACACTCATATAAAGCACAAATCTGCCTGATGAAGAGGAGGTCAATGCAGAGCTAAGTGTCCTTCCACAGAGCCTACAGCTGCCCTCATCTGCTGCTCAGCAGAGCTGTCAGAGTGCAGAAACATCAGTGGAGAAAGACGAATGGGATGGTGGCTCTGTCTAACATCCTTGTATTTTATTTTTTATTTTATTTTTTGATTTTGAAGGAGTCAGTTCCCGTCTACTACTACTTGCATTTCATAAGTAAATACATTCAAAGATAATGTTACCCTTGGTACCAAGGGAGAGGGGATACTGTAGGATAAGCTTAACTGGTGAATAGCCCATAGGATTTACTGCTCAGAGTCATCCTCAGATCTTTGGCGTTTTGTTATGGTTCTCATTTAGCCTTTCACACCCACAGGCTTTTCCTACTAAGCCTAAGGATTTTAAAAATTATTTTCCCTTTATCTTCTGATAAAACAAGGCTCAATTTTCAAGGGAGAAAAATAGCCAGTGTACACATATATCAGTTGTATATAAAATATTGACCCAACAGGGAGGCAGAACTGTGTATCCTGACCTACAGGACAAAAGCAAATGATGAAATATGGAAGAAAACTAGCCCATTTAAACAAAAGAAACATTCAGCTCTCATTCAGTCAGCTTGTGAACCTCTTTCCTATCTCTGTATTACTAGAATTAAGAGTGTTTATAGACTCATACGCAAGAAGAAAAACTGCAGTCAAATCAACTCAAAAAACAGAAAAAAGTCTTCATTCCTTATGGTATTACCTGATTGACAGGAACCAGCCAGAAATAATATTACTTCACACAAGACAAAAAATTAAGCAAGAGGATGGCATATTTACAGAGAGTGACTGAATTTCTCTAGAAGTTCCAGGTTTTTAGCAACAGCTCAGTATGTGGGTTGATGTCAACTGAGATGGTCTTCCTCAGAATTTAAAAATTGTTCCAGGAGCAGCTTTGAACATGGTGGCTACTTGGGGGTCTCTCAGAGCCCACCTATACTTGCTGTGTGGCATGGTAAGCTGTTTGTATTAATGCCGTACATGCTTATCAAGCAGTACGTCTGGAAATAGTTATATAAATCAGCAGTGAGGCTGGGACAGAAGCTTAGGAAACACCCTTGGAAATAACATAATATACTAAAAATACTAAAATTTTTAAATAGCTTCAAAAATGCAAACATGCAAATATATAAATGAAAACAAACCAAAACAAACCTTACTATTTAGGTAATTATTTGTTACTTGAACTTTCTACAGTAATTGTAGAACTCTTTGAAACAAATGTTGGCACAATTCATTGTCTTTTTTTTTTTTTTTTTTAATTTCAAAGAAAACCTATTAATAGAAAATTCCAACCTGTGTTGAGAATTACACTCTGGTAATGACAGCAAAGAATAAAGACAAGTTTATTTCAGTTACAATTTTCTGCAGTCTGAGTTTTTTCTTTCAGAAAGACAGAGCAAAAGTAGTTTTCCAGTCTCAAGGAGCTTACCTAATTACAATCTCATTTCTAATTGTGAACATCTGCAAACATACATAGTTGAATCAAAAGATCAAGGTATAAAATAAGTAATTGCAAGCCTGTTGATGTCTACACAATTAAAAAACAAAGCAGCCATACAAGCAATTTACAGAATGAAAAGTAGTAAAATTCAAAGCATTAAAATTCTGAACAATCTTCCTTAAACCCTCTCTTGAATGGAGAATATTTAAAGTAACTAGCTTCAGCAAGGTCAGCATGAACTTGAAACAGTACCTGGAAGCTTGGGCACTATGACATGTAAAGGTGGTAGCCCAACTAGAGGCAAAACCCCGAAATCCTGATGGCTTCATGCAGGGGGATAAAACAGTTCTGTTCCTATAAGATGGAATGAACGGAGCTGTAACAGCTCATGGTTTTTCTTCAGCTCCTCAGTGCCCATGACTGTTCTGTCACTCTGAATCATATGCAGGTTTTGGTACGCAGCTTGTAGGGTTAAAAAAAAAAAAAGTGTCCAACACTGACATAACTGCATTTGAAAACAAGAACTACAGAAATTCCTGTTCAAATAAAACAGAAGATATAATGCAGATTTACCTAGCATATGCTGCATCAGTGTGACTGACTTAGACACAAGAGATGCAGCAGACATGAAGCGGACCACTTATGGGCTGATGTAGAAAGTGGGAGCAGAGACTCTTAAACTATCTGAGACCTAAGCAAAAGGGTTCATACAGCACAGTGCTGTGCTTGCAGCTACCCACTCACATCTGGTTGGAGTACACACTCACTCACCTGCTGGCACTCTGACTGAGATTAGAGAAGATGGAAGAGTATACAGACCACTGCATAAGATGCCAGTGAGGCCTCCTGAGAACTAATGTATTCAATACTAGGTCAGCTGTATTGACATCAAAAGCTGTAACTGGCAGGGAAAATTACTTCTGTCTTTTAAACATAGAAAGAAAGACACTATTTTATCAGTAAAGGCTAAAAAGCTGTATTTAACACTGGAAAACAAAGTCAGGGAGATGTGATTGCATTAAAGAGACGTGTATGAAAGAGGCAAAACAAGACAGTGTGAGATCTTCTAGTTAATAATATATATTAATACTTACCCTCATTCTACTGATCTCTCTCCAAAGATGTAATTAATTCACATTAAGTGAAAAATAGCAGAGAGTAACACGAGAAGAGCTATTGCAGCTCAGACCAAAGGTTTATGTATTCCAACAGCCAGCATCTGACAGTAGGCAGTAACAACCATCTCAAAAAGGTTATAAGAGCCAAGGAGGCATAAATTACTTGCTCAGAATACTCTCCCACCTCAAAATAATTGCAGCTCAGAGACTTTCAGGTGTAGAAATGGCCTTTTCTATTTTACAGCATTCAGTGATTTCTTCTTCCATTTTTATGTGCAATTACTTTTTTAACCATGATAATTTCCAGAATCTACAGTATCTCATGGTCATAGTTCCATTTTAATTGCCCAGAGAAGTGTATCTTCCTGTTTGTTTTGAATGTACTTCATTTTTAATTTTCAATTTTAACTTCATTTAATGAAACCTTGTTTTATTAGAAAAGAGAGCCATCAATTATTCTTTAGCTTCTCTCTTCTTAGCGCTCATAGTTCTCACGTCACCGCCCAGATGTCTTGTCTCAAATCTGAAGAGTCCAAGTCCTTTTAGTCTTTCTTTATAGAGAAATCACTGTATATTTGTTTTCATATTTGTTGCCCTTCTCTGAATTTCTTTCAGTTTTACCACATTTTTCGGGGATGTCAGAATTTGTGTTGAAGAAGTAGACACACCATGGATTCCAGCAGTGACAAAATAACATTTTATTATCTCCCAATAATTTATAATCTATTTTTCTTACTGCCGTTGACCGGAATTTGTTCAAGAACTATCATACTCCAATATCTCATTCTAGAGTAATTACAATAAACTGAGCCCATTATTTTGCAATTGCTTTGTTTCTATAAAACTATTCAGTCCTTCCTTTACGTATCATATTATATCTATCTACTCATATAAACTGACTCCTTCAAAAAGTTCTAGTTATATATATGTATTTAATCATGCACTGTAGATATATTTTTTTCATATTTCTCAAGATTTCAACTATGCACATAGAAGGTTTGTTGGTCTGTCATTTCATCAAATAATATTTTTAAGAAAGCAGATGCTAGTCAAATCAGTCACTAGTTATGGTCCCAAGGCTGGTTTAGAACTTGTGACTCAACACTCCAAATTGATTGAGGACTTCAAATTCAATTTTCTAGATCTATGAATTGCTTCCTATAGTTCTCTTTCCTGAAGAAAAACAATAAAACACATCACCACAACTGAAGCAGATTTAAAAAAGACACAATAGGTTCACATTCTCAAAGTGCTATAGCTTTTTGTTATGGTTTTAAATAAACACAAATTTAATTGCTCATTTACCTAACTTATATGGTTATAAACAGCAAAAATTGAAATCTTTGCTTTCATTTAATGCAATAGATTAAAACAGACTAAGAAAGATCATTTTTCTCTTGTTATTTTGCATGTATGACACCACAAAAATATGTCACACAGAAGCATGCCACACCCTATTTAAAAGCCATTATTGTGGCTTTGCATATGAGATTACAATAATATTGATGTTTATCTCCAGCACCAGCTTTCATCTTAACATCTAAATGGAAAAGAAAAGAAAAAAAAAAAGAATGCAGAAAATTTCTTTTTGTACTGAGTTGTACATTTTTGGCTTTAGGAATGGCTGCTCAAATTTAAACTGATGAGCAAATTTATTTTGATTTACATTAATTTTTAACA